GTTGACCAGGATGGTTTTTGCATTGGTTCTCCATTCTGTGGACTCAGCGGTGAATCCCAGCCAGCAGCTAAGGACCCACTGCTTGCCCACTGACCCCCAGAGCAGGAGAGAGGAGAGAACAGGAAGAATAGAACTCCTGGATTGAGATAGTGAGAGTTTAATAAAGGCCATGAGAAAAAGCATCAGCAAAACCCCCAAGTGATACAAAGGCACTTTGTTTGTCTTACCACCTCCTGCCATCAAACCGGTGCTCAGGCAGACCCTGTCCTCGGTGCCACAGAATCATGGAATGTAATCACAGAATGGTTTGCAGCCATGAGCTCTCCCCAGAGCTTCTCTCCTCCCGGCTGAACAAGCTTAGCTCTCCTCCATAGGAGTGGTGTTCCAGCCCTCTGAGCACCTTCATGACCTCCTCTCGGCTCTCCCCAAGAGATCCACATCTTTTCTATGCTGGGGCCTTTGAGCGGAGCACAGGTGGAACCTCATAAGAATGGAGCAGAGTGGGGAATGACCTCCCTCAATTTGCTAACTGCAATTCCTTTCTCAAACTCTCACCCCCAGCTTAGGTAGTCCTACATTTATTGTCTCTGAAAACAAGCAAACATCTTCAACCTAAAGTGTTTATAAGCAAGACTTCTTCCTCAAATCTATTTATAATTCACAGTCCAAGTGTTTTGATTCTCAGAACTGTCCCCAAATATTCTTATATATCTGAAATGAATCTTGATTTTTGTCTGACTGATGCTGCCCGCCTGTGAGTCCCCCCGGCTCCAGATTTAGCAATATTGATCATCCAAGGAACCAAATTGCAGCATTACTGTTCAGCTTGCAGTGAGGGAGTTGGAGGCAGCAGCAGAGGCAGGACCTGGGGGCTGCTTTTTGCCTTTGCAGCAGTGGTTTCCAACAGAATGCATGGGGTAGGAAGGGAGAGATCAGATGTTCCCCCTACCGTCTCTTACAGTCCCCAGGAATAAGACTGCACATGATTTCCTCTCCTGCACTGCAGTGCTCCTGCTCCCTCAGCATGGGAAGTTCGGTGCCGGCTCCAGTACCACGATTCCCCTCTGCTGGCTGCTGTGGTCTGCGCACCCTCCTCAGCTCTGCCTCATTCTCCCCTCCTGATTTGCCTGAAGCATCTAAAGGCGAGTTTTACCAATGCACATGGGTATGCGATGTGTGTGTGCATACACACGAATGCGCTGTTAGTCAAGTTGTAGCAGGGAGGCGCTGTGTTTCTCGGTAGCACCCAGTAGCTCTGGCAGGGTTTGCTTTTTGTTTTGTGCAGCCTTTTGTCACGGTGAGACTGCTGAAAACCCATCTGAATACGGATCTTACTTACTAACATGTTTACCTAATTGCAACGGACCACATTTTATAAAAGGGAATGCGTTGCACCACTGTCACTGCTCTCTCTTTGAATTAGTTTTTACTAATTAAGAAATAATGACTCATAGTAGCAGTGAAGCATTCCCCTGCATGCTATTTTGCAGTACTGCATTCTTCATTAGTGCTTGCCCTCCCACCACCATACCTGCCCTGTGTTACTCCTGTCTGAAGCTACTCTTAGCTGGATGTCTTACTTGCAATCATGATGTGCTCCTCAGGTGGCTTCTCCACTTTCCACTTGCAGGATCTCAAGCTGCTGCACAGGTAAAGGAGGAGAATGGGGAAGATTTCAGTGTCCCCACTTTGGCTCTGGCTCCTCTTGCAGTGCTCACATGAGGGGTCCTGCTATAGAGGAGACTTTTTCTTGTGTATTCCAGCAAATACCTGGAGAACCTTGCTGCAAGCTCAGGCTGCATCTCTGAGCTGTTCCTTTTGGACTTCTCTGCAGTGAGGCTCAGTGCTCCTGGGCTGAGCGTGAACAGACTTTATTTGTGTTGCATACAAGTGTATGCTCATTCATTTCTGGAATTAAAAACACACTTGGCAATGCAGGTAAAGCCTTTAATTGGAAAGGTCCATGCCTGCTGGACATCAGATGAGTGAAGGAGCTGGTGTGACAGCACACCTGGCCTCAGATGAAGCATATACCTAACCCTAACCAGCCTTGGGCAGAGGTCCAGAGAGGTAACATCATTTACCTTTGGAGGTGGAGATGGCAAATTCATCCCAACTGATAAAGGCTGGTTGTTTAGCAGCAGGGATCAATCCCAGCAGCGCCTTCACTTTCCTCCTCCTCTTCATCAGGGCCACATTTTGAGCTGTGTACCAGGACCCAACCAGAGCCAGGGGTGGACTTTTATCCCATGGAATGACGCCGGTGGAAATGTGAAGATGGGGATCTCCTCATCCAGGCTGAAGAACGCCACCCGGCCCAATTCATAATCCAGAGCGATCCGGACCCACGTGGGAGTGCGAACATCAGGAAGGAGCGTGCGCTGCGGAGATGTGAGCGCCTGGAACTGCCCTGCCCACTGCCCCACGGCCCAGATGCCTTCCTCTGGGCCGAACTCAATCTCCCCTTTCCTCCTCACGTCTTCTCGACAGACGCCCACGGTCCAGCCCCCTCCATCCAGCACCACCTCCACCTCCCAGCAGTGCCTCCCTGCCGTGAAGCCCTCGCAGCCCAGCACGCAGCGCCAGGGATCGAAGCGCTCGGGGCGGCTGGGGACGTCCTGGCGTCGGTCTGTGCGCTTCACACTCCTGCCATCATCAGCCAGGATGAGGTCGCAGTGGGCAGTGCCCGCGTCCAGAACCACCTTCGCTGTGGGCAGAGGGAGGCACGTGTCGGGCAGAGCTCTCCTGCTGGGGAAGAAGGGGAAGGGTGCAAAGAAGCGGGAAGACGTGCAAAGCATTGGCGTGAGGAGCAGAAAGAGCTGCAGAGAGCCCAGAGCAGAGAGGAGAATCGTGGATCATAGAATCATAGAATGGCCTGGGCTGAAAAGGACCTCAAAGATCATCTAGTTTCAACCACAGGCAGGAGGAGGAACAGCAGCACAACTCCCAGCTGAGCAAATCCCCACATCCCCAGAGCAAGACCAGCGCTGCTCGCTGGGGCCCAGGACTCTCAGATGTGCCTTGGGGAGAGGATTGCATCAAGCAGGGCCCTGAGCACAGCACTGCAAAGTGTGAGCATCCCAGCATCACTGCAGGGGGGGCAGTGGGAAATGAGGGTAAAGCAAAGAGGGCTCAGCCCCCAGAAGGCAGAGCTTCAATTACCATCTTCAATCGGCGCTGCATATCTTCTCCACACTTGAAAAAACATTAGAAAACAAACACGGATGAGAGAGAACCCGAACGCACCCATGGCACCAGTTTGGCTGGGATGATGACAGGCCACGTGCTGCACATTTCCCAGATTGGTGGTGCGTTTGTGAAAGTCATTTCATGGTGTGTGACTTCCAGCCTTCGGTGTCTGGTGATGAGAAGTGCCCCATGCAGTTCTGATAAACGCAGCCCCGTTGCTGGGCCTGACTCACATGTGTACTTACTGTCTGTGTGTGCCTTCTTTGCGAACAGAAAGCATTTTTTTTTCTTAGTATAGAAGAAGTACAGGAAGTAACTTAAAATATAAAGGATGGCAATGCTTCTGAAGTGAGTTCAGCATCTGTCACCTCTTCATTTCCCAGCAGCAGACCCAAACCAGGGTGTAAATGCAATACTCAGGGGAAAACGGACCAACTGAAACATCTCCCACATAGGAAGAGGAACGTACTCACCAAGTTCCTCAGCTTGTTTCTCTGCAAAACAAGGAACGAGCACAGATGGGAGCGGGCACCAGCGGACATCACCTCTCCCACAGCTGCCTGCGTAGAATGAGCCTTACCAATTTTGGAGTCACGGTCCCCTAAGCAGCAAAGAGAAAGACCCCCCCGTTAGTGATGGATCCGCGGCACTGGGGGCAGCTGGAGGGCTGCATGGAGCAGTGCAGGGGGATTCTACCAGAGAGGATGGGACTTACGCAGCTCTGCGGCTTGTGCTGCTGCAAAGAGAACCAGAGGAACTCGTTACCATCACAGCAACACAAAATGTGAGACCCCAACCTGCCACCTCTATCAGGAAGGGGCTTTTGCAGAGCAAATCTCTGCCAATATACAGCACCCTTGCTCTCTCTTTGCTTGTGCCATGAGCTTACTTAAAATTGCAGCATCATTTCACAATTTCATCCTTTTGTCATTTCAGAAATCCGTTCCTTAATTTTCTTGGCTGCTCTGTACCCCTTTGCCTCCACCACCCCATCCTTAAGATAATCAGATAATCATTATCCTTGTCTAATCAGTCAGTGGAAATTCTCCAGCTTTCCAAGTCGTGGCAAAGTGGATCTTACCTATTTTTTTCTCATGCTTTCCTGTGAATAAAAACAGAAGAAAGAAACATCAGCAGTTTAAAAAACCACGCTGGTTATCTACATCTGCAGCTCCAAACCCACACAAGGCAGTGGCGTCCAAATGACCCCAGAGGGGTCCCTGCCCCCCAGACCTCCCCAGAGCCCGAGCAGCGAGTCAGAGAGGGGCCCCTGCCCCAGCCCAGGACTGTACCTTTCATTTTCAGCAGATAAACAGCAACGATGGAGAGAGCAACCACTGCAACCAGTACCAGGCTCAGGGCGATCTTCCACGGTCTGGCGTTTTGGAAAAAAGGATCTGAAAAATAAAAGAGCCCCGTAGGGCTTCGGTTACCCTGCAAGCAGTGACAGAACGCAGATTTATGTCTGTTCCAGGGAAAAGACAGCCTGTGCCCGCAGCATCGTGCTGCGCTTACCTGCTACAGAGAACGCAGACTCCTTCTCCTGGTTGTGCAGCGCAGCCCTGACCACGCAGGCCAGCTCCTGGCTGTCACCACTGGCGAGGACGAGGACACTCTCTGCTGTGTAGAGGCCACCGCCGTCCTGGGTGACGTTTTCAGAGAGGGAGGGCAGCCACTGCCCACGGGGGTCCCGCCACAGCAGCTGGGGCTGCGGGAACCAGCCTGCAGAGCGGCACGCCACGCGGATGCCGCCGTCCTGGTAGCGCTGCAGTGCGATGAGCGGGGCTGAGCCACTGGCTGCAGGAAACGGTGGTTGTGGGTTATGATGGGGAGGGGGTGATGCTGGGTACGAGGTTGGGGGATAACCAGCCCGTGGCAGGGGGTGGAACCGAATCACAGAATCACAGAATCGCCAAGGTTGGAAAGGACCTCAGGATCACTCAGTCCAACATCCACCCGTTCCCAATAGCTCTCACCAAACCGTGTCCCTCAACACAAAGTCCAGACGTTCCTTGAACACCTCCAGGGTCGGTGACTCCACCACCTCCCTGAGCAGCCCATTGCAGTGCCTGCCCACTCTTTCAGAAAAGCAGTATTCCCTCACATCCAGCCTAAATCTCCCCTGGTGCAGCTTGAAGCCATTCCCTCCAGTCCTATCACCAGTTACACGAGAGAAGAGGCCGACCCCAGCTCACCACAACCTCCCTTCAGGTAGTTATAGAGAGCAATGAGGTCTCCCCCGAGCCTCCTCTTCTGGAGGGCTTTAAGGCCCTCCCAGCACAAGCTGTTCTATGATGTTTTGTGTTTATGCACACAGAAAGCACCCAAGTTCTTATCCAGTCTTCTCCATAAACATCTGCCCTGGAGGCTGCTATAAAGTAATCCCCAGGTCTGGATATTAATATATAAAAGCATATTTTACTTTATTGCCCACTGCCTTTTTTTTTTTCCTATACCCATTTTTATATTAAGAAAATAATTTCAACACCATGTCTTGTGGGCAGCATGTTTCATTGGCCACGTGTGGCTGTGCAGCGGACACCTCCGCCTCTCTGGGACAACTCGGTGAGCACAGTCACAGCGTTGTGGAGTCACAGAACAGCTTGTGTTGGAAGGGACCACCAGGATTCCCTGAAAAAGCACCTGGGGTCACTGCGTGGGTAAAAGGTGGGAGAGAAGAGCGGGATGAAAAGTGGGGTGAAAGATGGGGAAGGAGGGCGGATGAAGGATGGGTGAGATTAGGATGAAGGTTGGCAGAGAGGAATGGGATGAAGGATGGGTGAGAAGAAGAAGAATGGGATGAAGGGTGGGATGGAGGTTGGGAGAGAAGAATGGGATGAAGTGTGAGATAGAAGAATGGGATGACGAATGTGTAAGGAGAGTGGGAAGAAGGGGTGGAGAGAAGAGTGCTGGCTGTGAGCAAGCAAATCAGAGGTACTGGGAGGAGCCCCCCACAGAAGACAGGGACACAGATGAATCATGAGAACAGCTTTTCCATGCTGTGAGAAGAGCCTTTTCACATAACTTGAGTGGATACAAGCTGAAGGACAAGATGCTTGCATACAAGTGAGCTCAAGAACAGAATGCAGAGGCTGTGGAAACTCACAACTCGCCAAACAACGATAAGAAAGAAGGGTAGACACCCCATTATCGAAGACAGGAAAGTGAAACAGGTGCCTCAGCTCAACACAACACCCCCCAACCCCTTTAAAGACTGAAAGTTCACATCAAGAAAAATGGTTAGCCTTTATCCGATGACCACCAGAGACCCCCGCCATGTTTTAGGATGCACGCTCAAGAGGGCGGAACAACATAATTCCTCAGAATTCTGCCCCATTTTCTTGTAGATAATGAATATCTATATGTTATATCTTTAAAAATGCAACCACTGCTTTTCTCAGCGTGTGCCAGCAGGAGATATCCGCCTCGCACGCAGCAGAGTGAACCCGTCTGCTTCAGAACCTTCCGTGGGTTGCAGTTTGGTTGGGCGCGTCGCAGACCACAGACCTGTGACCTGCAGCTCCACCGCAGCCTCGTCGTATCCCAGATCAGTGCGAACAAAGCAGGTGTAGCTCCCTCTGTCAGACAGCTGGACGCGGAGGATTCTCAAGCTCACGCTGCCATTGGCGAGGCGCATCTCCGTGCGCCCTTGGTATCGAAGCTCCTGGTCCCCGTACTGGTCCTGGCCATCCCTGTAGCGATGCACGAAGGGCGTGAATTGGTCCCTAAACCACGTCACCTCCATGTCCTGTGTGCTCTGCTCCGGGGACAGGCGGCATGGCAGCACCACGTCCTGCCCCACAGCCACAGCCACAGGGTCAGGGGGGCCCTGCACGCTGAACGGGGCTGGAAGAAAGCAAGAAATCACTGTGAGTTGGCTGAAAGCCTAAGCTGAAAGCCTGTGCTGAAGGCCTGTGCTGTGCCATCCCATGGGCAGAGCAAACACAGCCACGGGGGCTCATACCTGACTGCAGCTCGTGAACATGGAAAACGGCACTGTAAATGACAGCAGCCAGCATAGGGCAGTGGAGGCAGCAGCCAGAAAACATCGTCTTCACAAAGCCCACCCTGAGAATGGAGAAGGGGAAGTGAAGGGAGAGCAGAGAGGTGAGAAGAGAAGCAGGGTGGCAGAACATTGTGGGGGGTGACATACTTTTAAAGGGATTATTTTGCTGATTTTGGCACAGTTTTTATAATAACCAGCCTAAGGTTGGAATCCCCAAGGTTGAACTCGATTTTACATCAGCAGCCCAACTTTGCCACTTTCCCATTGCCTTAAAGAAGACACTGTACCTTGTCCTTTGTTGAGAACAAATCTAAAACCTGTTGCAGCAGATGGGTGCTTTGTGCCCAAAGCAGCACGCACCATGGTTTGAATCTGGAATTCTTGCTGCTCTTATGCAGCCCTGAATTAGGAGTTGGAAACATTCAGGATTGCAACGAGAAACCTGACGGAGTGCCCACGGCAGTGAGTCCAAGTTCCTGGCCCAATCCCAACAGGGATGCTCACAGGGATGATCCCCACTTTGGGATGGGGATGGAAGGAGCACAACCACAGCCAAACCACCCCCCAGCCCCAAGCTTACCACCCGTGCAGTCCTTTCTCTGCCAGCGAGGGTGGAGGGCAGGGAACAGGAAATGCAACCGCTGAATGAGATCTCACAGCCGGGACGCCCATTTCCTTCTGCACCTCCTCCATTCAGAAACGAAAGTAACAGAGGTATTTGGGCATTGCTGACGGGAGGATTTGCTCTGGAAATGCTGTTGCTTCTTGGGGGTTGCTGGGGGCTCACACAGCAGCGGGACACGGAGCACACAAAGGCACAGACCTGGCCCACACTGGGGAACGGAGCCGACGGCTCAAAATAAAAGTGTTTGTGCTGATAGGGCGTGCATCACTTTGAGGAGCGTGGCTTCTGCAGCTCATAGGGATGCTGATGATGTCAAGCATGTGGGCAGGGAGGAACATGCAGGGGAAGAGAGTGGGAAGGGCAAACCGTGGGGGGAGAAATTCCACGGGATGGGCTGAGCTGGGGTGAAGGCATCACTCCTGGGCACATGAAAAAGTGCCTGTAAAGGGGGAAGGAAAAGGGGGAGGGCACAAAGACCAGTGTGCACCACCCACCATTACCAGATGAGCAATTCAAGCCCTGCCAACGTCTCTCCCCGCAACCCATTGGCAGCACAGCACAGCTGGGCAAGTCTGTAAGGAGCCAGAGCTCCTCCATCTGACTCCGCACAACCCGGGCACCCGATAAGCTGGTGTCCCCAGCTGACGTCCCACCCGAGCACAGGGGACCCAGCAGGGCTCAGAGCTCCGTATGGCACAGAGGGCTCTTATCACCAGCCTGCAGGCGGCCAAGGGGAGGGGAGATGCAGGGATTCCCACGATGCCTCTCTGCAAACAGCATGGGGACACTGTGGGGACACTCCTTTCTAGCCGCGATCTGATGAGGTCCGGTGAGCAAACTGAAGGTGTCTGGACCCATCTGAACCCTTCTTTCCCACTGTCAGCCTGCAGTGAGTGCTGACTGTGCTGGGATGCTGTGACTTCTCCAGCATTCCCCAAGCTTCTGGAAAAGAGGGTCCCCTTTATCATCTTCACATGGTCTCTGTGTCCCACAGTTTCCACTTTCAGCGGGGGACATGTCTCTGCTCCTGTTGACGTTCTGCAGAAATGCTCATTTCCAAGATGGAGGGAGAAGAGATGGAGACCCTGGCCAATGAAGAGGAGGAGAGGAGAGAAAGAGGTGAGTTTTTAGAGGCGATTGTGCTGTCTGGGAGAAAAGCGCGTCCTGCTTCTGCTGTGAAGAGATAGAAAGGGGCAAAGCTCCTGGGGGTTGTCATAGGGCTGAGACTTGGTGACCCCTCCACCCCCAGCTGGATTCCTCTGGCTTATCTGTAGACCCACCAGCAGCACCAGGCACCTGAGCTGCCATCCTGGCTCCCACCTCTGCACACAGAAAGGAAGAGGAATGTGAGGCCATGGGTGATCAGTCCTGGGCTCAGAGTCACATTTTGTGCTGGTCTGTGCCCAGATGTGCCTGCTGCTCTCTTGCAGCACGAGGAAAACCCACACTCAGGGCCAGGTGTCTGCACAGCAGGTGCAGCTACATCCTCCAGGAAAGGGGATCCCCTTGGCCAGGGATTGCACGGGAAGCCCCAGAGAGGGCAGGACCAGAGCAGCTCGAGCCTCGGGCAGCCCAGCACAGAGAGATCCTCACCCCATGGTGGAGATCTCTGGACAGGGGGAAGGAATTCAGCCCATCCCTTCCTTTGCTGGGTGGGTTCAGCCCTGACATAACACGGGGTCCTGAGCGGCTTCTCCTCTGTCCCCAGCTGATTTCACCCTGGATCCGAACACCGCCAACCCCTTCCTGCTCCTGGCTGACGATGGGCGAGATGTGAGACGTGGGGAGGTGTGGGCATCACTGCCCGATGGCCCCGAGCGCTTCGGCACGGAGCCGTGCGTGCTGGGAGACCGCGGCTTCTCCTCGGGGCAGCACTGCTGGGAGGTGGAGGTGGCCGACGGTGGTGACTGGTGGGCGGTGGGGGTGGCCCAGCACTCCGTCAGGAGGAAGGGGGTCCTCAGTTTTACCCCCCAGGAGGGGATCTGGGCTGTGGGGCAGTGGTTCGGGCAGTACTACGCTTTCACCTGCCCTGACTGGACAGCCCTGCGCCTTGCCCAGCTGCCCAGAGCCATCCGGGTCTCCTTGGACTTTGGGGGCGGGCAGGTGGTATTTGCTGATGCTGAAAGCAAAGACCAGATCTTTGCTTTCTGCCTGGCCCCATGTCCTGAGGAGATGCTATACCCGTGGCTTTGGGTGGGAAAGGACTCGTGGCTGAAGCTGTGCCCCTGATGTAGAGGGAGCATGGAGGGCAGGGGCAAAACTGGAAAGAAGGAAACCATCAGCCTGGCTCTCAGTGCGGGGCACTGGGAGAGCTGCACATCCTCACTGGTTGGTGATTCCTCACGTGGTCCCTCTGGCCACCAAGCAGAAGGTCAGTGATGGATGGGGAACTGGAAGGTCTTGGGGATGGATGCCACACAGGAGCTTCTCCATCCCCCTCTGCCCCACAGCAGGGGAGGCACCGAGGAGATCACTGCAAGGGGACCCCGGGACTGAGAGGTGGGACTGCGCATCGGCTCTGTGTGTGGCCATGAGAAATACAGCAGATCCAAAGGCCTTGAAAGCTGCTGAGTGCCATGTCTGTTTTTTTTCAGATAAGCTCAATGGTGAAGTAAAAAATGTAAGAACACAGCTGGGTGCTGGAGCTCATGATAACACTTATCTGCTCCATGCATCTGAACCCTTTCTCGGCCTTATTTCCAGCTCTCACTGATGTGCATTGGGCACACGTGTCTTCCTCCACAATCCTTGCAGCAGGGCACTGGGAAAAGCTGTAGGGATGGGCAGGGAAAGTGAGGCAGAAACGGTGGTGTCCAAAGTCCATAGGCCAGATCACTCCCGTGGACTTGCTATGCTTGGATCTCCATCCTCCCTCCAGCTTGGTTTCTTTTTCCTCCTTCAGTCTTTCAGCTGTTCAAAAACACACTGAAACAACCCAGTTCAGCCTCTCCCAGGAATACACCTGGAGCAATTTGCTCAGGGAAATTCTACCCCTAGAAGCTGATCTGTTACAGTTCCTTTACCAGAAGCAGTCAAGGCAGATATGCATCAGGAAGTTGAACTTCCTTCCTGGTTTGCCAGGAATTTACTGTTGGGATCCAAGAAAACCAATTAATATCAGGAGAGGATTGCTGAAGATGCACGCATACCACGCAGCAGCCGGTTTGTTTCTTTCCCTTCTTTTCCTGTCAGGAAATAAAGGATGTGAGCAGTGCATCCCTGATATGTGAGCAATCTGCCTTTTTTGCTGGGCAGAAATCTTTGCAATCCCAAAGCAACATCACGATAAAAGGGAAAAAGCAGCACGTATCTGTCCAGAACATCACCAGCATCCCAGAGAGGAGATAAACAGAAGTCTGTTTTTGTGAGATCCTGGGCAGCAAAGCTCTCACGCACACCAGCAATTTTGGCACTATAAAATGAGGGGGGAAGTTTCTCATGTATGTCTGCTGTTTAGAATAATACAGAATAATAAACTGAGTGTTTGAAAGAGGCCTTCCCCCAAATCTCGACGTGTTTCTCGATTGAACTCATGGCTGTGGGGCTGGGAGGGGTGGGGGCTGCACCTCTGGGGCCTTTTGTTTTTGGTACCACAGCGACTCTGGGGGCTGGGAGAGAATTGGGGCTGTGGGGCACCCCAACACTCCTGGACCCCAACACTCCTGGACCCCAACAGCTCTGGGAACCCCTGACAGCTTCCGGACCTTCCCAATGTATTCGAGACCCCCAACAGCTTCTGGCCCCAACAGCTCTGGAACCCCAAATGCTTCTGGCCCCACCTACAGCTCTGAGACCTTAACAGCTCCAAAACCCCCCGACATCTTCTGGATGCCCCCCACCCGGCGGCTTCAAGACCCCCTGGCAGCTTTTGGACTCTGACGGCTCTGAAACCCTGACAGCTTCTGGAGTCCCCCAGCAGCTTTGAGAGCCCCAACAGCTTCTGGACCACATCCCCACCACACGACAGATTCTGGACCTCTCGGACATACCCAAGACTCCAACGTCTCTGAAACTCTGACAGCTTCTGGATGCTCCCATGACATCTCTGAGACCCTCTGAGAGTTTCTGGACCCTGACAGCTTTGAAACCCTGACAGCTTCTGAACTTCCCCACCCCCACAACTGCTCCAGGACCCCCTGACGGCTTCTGGACCTCCCTGATGTATCAGAGACTCCTGACAGCCTTGGGATCCTGACAAATGAAGTAGCCAACTCACGAGAACCACGAGCGATCCTGTGAAAAAGCACATTTTCATGCCAGCCATAACGATTTAGATCTTTCTACAATAAGAATTTTCTACTCGCTTCATTAAGTCAGTATTTCTTTCCAAGATCACAGAATCACATGACTGCAGGGTACGGATGGAACCTCTGGAGACCACCTCATCCAAACCCTTGCTAAGGAAGGCGATCGTCCCCCTCTGCTCTGCTCTTGTGAGGCCCCATCTGCAGCACTGTGCACAGGGCTGGAGCCCCAGCACAAGAAAGACGGGGAGCTGTTGGAGAGGGTCTGGAGGAGCCACGGAGATGAGCAGGGGCTGCAGCACCTCCCTGCAAAGACAGGCTGAGGGAGCTGGGCTTGTTCAGCATGGAGAAAAGAAGGCTGGGGGTGACCTCAGTGCAGCCTGCAGTACCTAAAGGGAGCCTGCAAACAGGAGGGGAATCAACTCTGTGCAAGGGGAGATGGCAGCAGGACGAGGGGAAATGGTTTGAATTGAGGGAGGGCAGATGGAGATTGGATGTCAGGGGAAGTTCTGTGCTGTGAGAGCGTGAGGGGCTGGAACAGCTGCCCAGAGAGGCTGTGATGCCCCGTCCATCCCTGGAGGTGTTCAAGGCCGGGTTGGATGGGGCCCTGGGCAGCCTGGGCTGCTGTGAAATGGGGAGGTTGGTGGCCCTGCGTGTGGTGGATTCACGACCCTTGGGGCCCCTTCCAACCCCGGCCATTCTGTGATTCTGTAAGGAAGATTCCCTGCAATGGGTTGCACAGGAAAATATCCAGGTTTCTGAATATCTCCTGAGAAGGAGACTCCACCACCTCCCAGGGCAGCCGGTGCCCATGTCCGTCAACTTCAAAGTAAACTCACTCCTTCTAAAGTTCAGATGGAACTTCCTGTGTTCCAGTCTGCACCCATTGCCCCTCGTCCTGTCACTGGGCACCACCAGAAGAGCCATCCACCTGACCCCCATCCTCTAGATATCGGTAAGAATTGATCAGATCTGCTTTCACCCACTCTTCTCTTTGCTCTTCAATCTCAGC